TCGGTTTCGAATTATTCAGTTTTTATTTTGCTTTATATTTTGGAATATTAAGACTAGTAAAAACAGGGCCAGAGCAGAACTCTTCCTTTAGAGCGCAGGGATCATAGCGAGGGGTGAGCCTATAAAGAGGTGAGGCAAACGAGTTCTTGACAGTGTTGACGCTGCTGGCCAGAGATAGCGGTGGATAGTCTGTGGGCACGAGTGTTGGGTCTATTGTTATGCTAACTATTGAGCGGGGCAGGCTATCTTGAGCAGCAATGGCGTTACACGGCTATAGGCCGGGGTGTTGGCGGCATACAGTGCGCTGGGTTCCAGTGTCGGGGGAAGGCCCTCAGATTACGATGGCCCTGAACTATGATGGGGGAGAGGTAGTCTGGCTGAAAGTCTGCATTGAAGGGGGGAGAGAGGAGGAGATGCGAGGTGACCAGAGGCTGCAGACTGCCATTTCCGAAGCGCGCGACAGGGCAGAGCGGAGGTGCAGACGAGACGGGGTGACCGTGGGCTTGAGGGTGACGGTCATCTATCACGAGATCGAGTCATCAACTGGGACCGAGACAAGGGAGGAACAACATAACGAGAGAGACTCAAGCGGGGAAAGCGAAATGAGCGAGGCAGACCGAGAGACGGATCTCAGGTCCTCGAACAGACCCGACGAGATCCAAAAGCACCACCGAGCCGCGGAGCCGGTGGAAAAGGGACCTGAGGCCAGCTCACGACAGACGACTCCCAGAGGCCGTGGGACTGGAGGAAACCTGAGTAAAGGTAAGAAACGGGTATGAGACAACACGTGCGATATGCTGGGGGGGCCGAGCAGAGGTCAACGAAGAGAGGAACGGAAATTCGCAGAGTGCGGTTGACGTCAACCACTATTCGCAAGCTCATGTGATAGGTTGGCACGTGCAGCAATGTTGGAGAGATAATGAAGTACCTGCTTAAATAGAGTGAGTGGTGTCGAGAGAGAGAGAGAGAGAGAGCGACAAGCGCGACAGGTGGCTAGGCCTGAAAGAAGAGGGCAGTCAACAAATGTGTGAGTGAGCGGGAACGAGGCAAGTTTGCGAAGGGCGATTGACGTCA